CTTTCAATATATGGTTATGGCAAAACTGGATATCTATATGCCTTTTGAAATTGGACCCCTATCTTACACTCAGAAATATAACTCAAAACGGATTAAAGACCTTAAGTTCTGAAACTATAAAACTCCTAGAAGAAAACATAGCTAAAAAGCTTCTTGACATTGGTCTTGCCAACAATTTTTTGACTATGACACCAAAAGCACCAGCAACAAAAGCAAAAATTAGTGAGACTACGTCGAACTAAAAAGCTTCTTTGTAGCAAAAGAGTCAACAAAATGGAGAGGCAACCTGTGGAATGAATGGGAGAAAATATTTGCAAACCATGTATCAGACAAGAGGTTACTATCTAAAACATGTAAGGGTCTATGGCCATCCCACCCTGAACACGCCCGATCCCGTCTGATCTTGGAAGCTAAGCAGGGTTGGGCCTAGTTAGTTCTTGGATGGGAGACCACGTAGGAAGGCTGGGTGCTGTAGGTGGAAATGAATGAATGAATGAATGAATAATAAAATATGTAAGGAACATATAACTCAATAGTAAAAACCACTAATAATCTGATTAAAAAATAGACAAAAGACTTGAATAGACATTTTCCCAAAGAAGACATACAACTAGCTAACGGGTGCATAAGAAGATGCTTAGCATCACTAATCAGCATGGAGGTCAGAACCACAGTGAGATGTCACCTCACACCATTTGAATGGCTTTTATCAAAGAGACAAGAGATGGGAAGCGTTGGCGAGGACGTGGAGGAAAGGGAGCCCTTCTGCACTGCTCGTGGGGATGCGAACTGGTGCGGCCGCTGTGGACAACAGTGGGAGGTTCCTCAAAAATTAAAAATAGAGCTACCTTATGATCCAGTCACACTTTCGGGCATTTATCCAAGGGACATGAAATCACTGTCCTGAGAAGACGCCTGCACTCCAGTGTTCATGGCAGCGCTATCCTCAGTAATCAAGACGTGGAAACAACCTGAGTGTCCATAGACAGATGAGCGGATAGAGAAAATGTGAGATACATAGACGATACTTAGATAGATATGTTATTCAGCCATGAAAAAGAAATGAAATCTTGCAAAAGTGTGAATGGACCTCGAGGGCATTATGCTAAGTGAATAAGTCAAGAGAAATTTTAAAAATCTCCCCCAGAAATTTATAAGTGTACAGTCTCACTTATATGTGGAATCTGCAAAAGCTGAGCTCCTCGAAACAGTTGAAGGTTGATTGTCAGAAGCTGGGCTGGGGGTAGAAATGGGGAGATAGTGATCAGAGGGCACAAACTTTAGTTATAAGCTGAATAAGTTCTGGTCATCTAATATACAGCATGGTGACTGCAGTTAAAATACCAAATTATATACTTGAAAGTTGCTAAGAGAGTAGATCTTAAATGTTCTCACAACAAAAAAAACAGTAGTTATGCGAGGTGGTAGATGTGCTAACGCCTTATTGTGGTCATCGTTTCACAGCATATGTGAGCATCAAATCGTTACTTTGGACACTTTCAACTTACACAATGTTATATGTCATTTATGTCTCAATAAATCTGGGGGAGATTTTTAAAATTAAACTTATATGATAGTAATTCTTTAAATATTGGTCAATTAAGAAAATAAACAATAAGTGTATATTTTAGTAGTGACAGTGGCATCTATATTCCCTTTAGGATAGTGTGCGCATATATGTAGGAGAGAGGAGGCATATTCTTTATTCATTCTGCAGACAATATTGGTACCATACAAATTTTTAGATATTAATTCTATATCCTTGACCCCTAGGGAGTTTATGGACCACGTGTTGAAAACTCCAGGTCTAACATTTTACTTTTTATTTGAACTCCTATTATTGAATAAATCTTGACTTTCTCTGTTTTTATATTATTATTTTACCTGACTAGAAAGTTTTCAGATTTTACAAGTAAATCTTTTCCAATTTGACACATTTGTGCCAAATTCGGCAAACCCTAGCTATGTATGATATTTATGTATGTTTTGCTTTGTACCATAGAGGAGTGCCTGAAATATTAGTGGTATATGAACTAAACCTTTCAAATTCCACAGTGAGCATGGTATGCAAAGGGCATGGGAAAGTGACGACCCCTGAGTCACAGGAATAAGCGCATTTAGTTTACCTTTTCTGTTAACATGGGTTTTTGTACACTGGGTGTACTTTAATGAAACATGCACGCACACATCCGCATTGGTGTGTTTCTGCCTCTCCCTCTGAGGCTCACAGGACTTCGTGCCCGCTGTTCCAGCACCTTCCCTCTCGGCTCTGAGCTCAGTTACCTGTCCAAGCTTAAGAGACATCACGTGGCTGGGTTTGGGGATCAAGTTTCTGTGGTCCTTGGGAGTGCACGGCAGTGCCCGTGTGAACGGGCCAGCTCGAGTCCCATGCAGCCCCTGAACTGGCCCCCTCCCCTTCAGGCCTGCATGCTGGTTTTCCACCCGGATCTCGGCAGCGCCTTCTCTGACACAGCCGAGAGGAGCGAAGTGGTGATTTGTCTCGACTGCTCCAGTTCCATGGAGGGTGTGACATTCTTGCACGCCAAGCAGATTGCCTTGTACGCGCTGTCCTTGGTGGGCATGGAGCAGAAGGTGAACGTTATCAGATTTGGCTCAGGTGAGCGCTTGGGCTCCGGGCGCAATGTGCCTCCTCTCTCACAGCTGCACATTCGTTCGTGGGTAGAGCTCACCTCACCTTTGGAGTGAGAGGGAGCACAGAGTTCCAGTGTGTTCCAGTCCCAGCTCCAACACTTACCAGCTCCCAGTGCCGCCACGGGCAGCTCCTTGATCTTGTCCAGCCTCCGTTTCCTTGTCCGTGAGGAAGGCGGTAGCCTGCACCTCACCGTGTTGTCCTGAGGACTGGACTATGTATGTAAAGGGCTTGAAACAGGGCCACGGTCACAGCAAGTGCCGCGTGCACGTGACTGTCACCAACGCCAGCTGAGCCGACCACGAGACCCTTGGTGTGACCTACGAGGGCCCCAAGGTGGAGGATAGAACCTCCAAAATGAGCGCGGTATAGTCTGTGAGGAGTGGGCTCAAGAAAGGTGACACCGTAACCAGACGGGGGTCCAGGGCCGTCTCAGCCACCAGAAGAAGGGCCACAGAGTGGAGGGAGGGGACATCGTGTCCCGCTGGTTCTTCTGCGCCATTTAGCAGACGGCCCAGCCCCTTTAGGAAGGAGCCAGGCTCTGCGGCTGCTGGGGCAGAGGTTGTGGAAGGAGAAGGTCCCTCCAATGGCCGGGCTGCCCGTGCTGTTGTGACGCCTCACCCGACCTTGCATGAGCTATGTGCTGCAGAACGGAGGTCTGCATGTGCAGTTTGACTCAGAGCCTTTTGCACAATAAAGTGCTTGGTTTGCACTAGAGTTTATTATTTAAAGGAATACTGTGGTGGCTTTTCATCTGTTAAAATCATGAAACACTTGTTCGTTAGCGCTCAGTAAGGTGAATGTTGAACGGCGACACCTCACGCCCGTCTCATCACACAGGTTACCAAGAGCTGTTCTCATACCCCAAGTGCCTCACGAGTGACAGTGTGGCAGCCGAGTTCATCACGGTGAGTAAACGCCATCTCCCTGTGTCTCTTGAGTCAGGGTCTACCCAGTTCTAGGGATGCTGCCCCCAGACCACCATCAGAAGACCCCGGTCCTTCCATTTTTGTGTGTTGGTGGCTCTTTTATTTCATTGACAAAAGCAATATGAACTCATGGGATAAAATTTGTAAAATAAAAGGGAAGATAAAAATAATCTACAGTCCTGCCACCCAGATAAAGCTGGCAGTGTCCGCTTTGCAGCTTTCTTCTGTCCCTTTTCTTCTTCTTAAAATGGAGAGAGCCCAGGATGACCAGCCGCCCCCTCAGTCTGGGCTGGCAGACCCAGAGGTATTTGATGTCGTAGTCTTTGAAAAACATAAAAAAGGTAAGTGCCATTGATGATAATGTGACATGAATTAAACTCTAAGGCTATAAATATAGTTGCTCCACAGATGTGTAATTAGGAAAAAATGTCTTTTCCTCACGGTACCTGTGAACGCTCATGGAGCGACAAACCAGGTCAAGGATGACAGTTAGTGGAGGGCTGAACGCTCGCTGTCTTCACTCCCGCAGTCCGCCTCGCCCACCATGGGAAGCACAGACTTCTGGAAAGTGCTCCGATATCTGAGTTTACTGCCGCCTTCTCAGGAGTTACGGAACGTCCTCCTCATATCTGATGGGCACCTGCAGAGTGACAGCCTGACGCTGCAGCTTGTGAAGCGGCATGTCCAGCACACCAGGCTGTTCTCCTGCGGGGTCGGGTGAGTGCGGGAGGCTGGCGTGCGAAGCCCCGTGGGGGGCCACCTGCCTGCGGGCGGGCGGCGTCATGTGGGCTGCGCAGGGTCTAGGCAGGCGTGAGGTCCGGGCTGGGATATGGAGGCTGCTCGGGACGCAGGCCTGGGCCTCTGGGCTCTGGGCCCTGGGCCAGGCTGCCTGGGTCTGCACACCAGGGCTGGCCATGGGTTAGTGACCTCGGGCAGGTTGCCAACTGTATAAGCGAGGCTAGTGATGCACACACCTACCTCGTAGGTTTGCTCCGAGGGTTCAGTGGGCTCACGTATACAAAGCACTTGGAACAGATCTGGCTGTGGCAAGCACCAATCAATGTTAATTTTGTTATTTTGCATAAAAATCCAAATTTCTGACCTGTTCTGACAAGCCTGGAGACCTGGCAGCCAGGCTCACCCTCCCATGGCAGTTTCTGATGGCCAAAGGGTCTAGGGGCCCCACCCAGGTACCCTGCTCCTCACGATGCCTTTCCCATGACCACTCTGTGAAGTCTGCATTGTCAGCCCCTGAGACATGCGGGGGATGGGGTCTTTCTCTGGGGAAGCCAAACCCATGGTGTGAAAGCGAACCCCCCAGTTATGGTTAGCTTTTCAGTTTGAACTGAGGCACGTAGTGTAAATATAAGGAAGACAGCAAACCCAAGGGACCGGACTGATGTCTGCAGAGCCTGCCCCCACCCCCGCCCCTACAGTCACCACCACCGCAAGCTGTTACCAGGCCTTCCCTCAACTCGGGCCCCCACCCCTGCTGTGCCAGTCTGGGCTCTGGATGTCCCTGGATGGCCTCCTCTTCTACCCAGAAGGCACTGTTCCTCTCTCTGCCCCCTCAGTCACATGCCTAGTTCTGTTCTCTGTCATCCGAGGCGTGATGGTGTCCACCCCACCTCAGGCTCCCCCAGGGACAGTCCCTAGCAGGACTGAGCTAAGTAACTCGCACCTGTGGACACAGTGGCCTGCCACAGTGAGGTGTCCCCTCCCTGCCTTCCTAGTCACAGCAGCACCTGCCTGCTCCCTCCACGGTGTCGGGGCCTGCTGGGCTGGCGTCCAGGCCCATATACTTCAGTGCAGGAGGCACTGTGTCCTGCTGATCCCTTTTTTGCTGAGCACCTGTCAGGGGCAGACACTGCTTGGCCCGGGCCAAGTACTGTGTGTGGGACACAGACAGCAGTCCAGTAACTTCAAAGGGAGAAGGGTTCCAAGTGCCAGGAAGGAAAGAAGGGGGGTGCTGTTGTGGGCTGACTTTGTGCCTGTTGACATAACTCAGCCTGAGGCAGCTGGAATTGTTACTGATTTTCCGTCTAGTTTTTAGGATCTTTCTAAATGTTTCTGCCTCATTTTACACATACTCATTTGTGTTCAAAAACTCTAGCAAGATGTTGCGAGTTTTCCAGGAGTAGAGACTGTCGCTCCCGTGGGTCGTAACAAGCTGTCATCTGAGTCCACGTGGCAGGAGCACAGAGAAGGTTCCAAGTGGTCTCACTGCTGAGGGACTTATAAAATGCAGAGCAGCTCTGCTGAATCACCGCCAGTTTAAACCTTGAGGACCGAAGCCAACTCTAGTCTTTACCAATATGCTAACAAATATTTCAGAAGTAACTCTTAAGCTCTTTTTCTAAAAAGTTATTGATCATTTCTTTAAATTTCAGGAGGAAACTCTCTTAGAAAGTCATTCTTGATAGAATTATTATTGAGAGAAATTTAGTAGGACATTGACATTTGAATATCAAAGGTTATGTTTGCTAGAATGAGAGTTACTTCTTTATACCTTTTCCTCTCTAGACGTGGATCAGATTTCAAGGTGTAGACTTTATTAACCCTTTTGCCACTTGGCCTTTAAGATCGGATTTGGGTAGCTTCGACAGTCCTTGAAAGTAGGTTGATGTCTTCACCATCATTCTGGTACCTTTTGGAGGTTTCTCAGTGTCATCTACTACATCCTTTAGTAAATTGGAAGTCAAGAATTTATGCTTTTTTCCTGTCATATGTTTTGTCTTCTTCACCTTAGCTACAGAAGAGTAAATTCTGCATGTCCTGTCTTTGTTTTGAGCTGTGTCAACACTGTTAAGTACATGGACTTCAAAACTGTTTGTAAAAACTAACCTGTGTTCAATGTGATCAGTTCCACAGCAAACCGTCACCTACTAAGGACTCTGTCCCAGCATGGTGTTGGAGCATTTGAATATTTTAACTCAAAATCCAAATATAGTTGGAAAAAACAGGTACGTTTCTCAAGCATCTTATTTCTAGTCTTATAGTTTACATGTGGAAATGTTATCTTCTTACAACCTAGTGGCAGTAACTTCTTACAGTCTAGTGCCATTAGTGACATTAATGTAAAGGGCAGCTGGCGAGAGGCAAAGGCGGAAGGAAGGTGTGTGTGTGTTCGCCCCCTGGAAGGAGCACAGTGAACTCGGAGTCGGGTCATTCCCTGGCGAATAGTTTGGTTTCTGCTTCAGAAAGTGTCTGGGGTTGATCTTTTAAAGTAAAGTATTATACATGTTTTGCCAGATTAATTTTTTTATTGTGGCAAAATGTACATAGAACGTACCACGTGAACCACATTTACGTGCACGTTTCAAGGGCATTAAGTACATCCTTACCGTTGTGCAGCCGTCACCACCGCCCACCCCCAGAACTGTTTCGTCTTCCCAAAGAAATTCTGTCCCCATCAAACAAGTCCCCATCGTCCTTCCCCCAGCTCCCGGCACTCACCGTCTACTTTCTGTCTCTGAATTTGACTACTTCAGATGCCTCACACAGGTGCAGTCACACAGCACTTGTCCTCTGGGGCCTGGCTCGTTTCATTCGGCATGTCTTTAAGGAACTGCTACACTGTGGCAGGTGTCAGGATTCTCTTCCTTTTTATGGCTGAACAACGTTCATTGTCTGCACACCCCACATTTTATTTATCCACTCCTTTGCTGATGGACGTTTGGGTTGTTTCAGCTACCGTGAATCATGCTGCTGTGATTATTGGTGGACAAGCATGTGTACAGGACCCTGATTTCAGTTATTTTAGGTACATCCCCTGAAGTGGACTAGCTGGATCACGTGGCGACTCTATGTTTAGTGTTTAAGAGCTGCCACACTGTTGTCCCACACAGTGGCTGTGCTGTTTTACACCGCGCCCCGCCCCCTGCCCCTGGCCCAGGCCATTTACCAGGGTTCCAATTTCTCCACGTCCTCATCAATATTTATTTTCTGTTTTTTTGCTTTTATTTTTCTGATGAGCGCCCTAATGGGTATGCAGTGGTAGCTCACCAGGGTTTTGACCTGCAGCTCCCTCACGAGTAGTGATATTGAATGACTTTTCATGTGCTTATTGGCCATTTGTGTATCTTTGGAGAATGGTCTTATTCAAGTCCTTTGTAGAATTAATTTTTATAACTGGAATATACTCTATTCCAGAGTTGTATGTTAGTAACTAACTAATGGAATAAGTTTTGGGTGTTTTGCACACTTAAATTATGTGCTAGTGCTGTTATCTAAAATGCTACATAAAATCTTTCTGGAAAAGTACCCTGTAGCAGGAAGGAGGGAAAAAGACAGCTGCAGTCCCCAAGGACACAGTGTGAAATTCAAGTGTTCGGTGACAATTTTCTGGATATACCACTAAAAGAGAAATAATTCCTCTGGCACAAATAGATAGAAGACCAGATGACTCGGTCCCGTTCTCCGAGCTGCCACTCTGTCTCCGTGACATGGCAGCGGCTCAGCCCCGAGGCGCCCGAGCCCCTGCAGGCCCCGGCCCAGGTGCAGGCCTTGTTCCATGGTGACCGGCTGCTGGTCTACGGCTTCATCCCCCACTGCACACAGGTGAGGAGCCATGTGTCGTACTAAGAATTTTCTTTTGTTTTTCTCTCTTTTTTTTCTTCTCCAAATCATAGTAAGCTGGCAGATTTTCTCCTTCGGGGGACACAGAGGGTGACGACCAGGGGCCCTGGGAGCCTCCGACTTTCCCTTGAAAGGGGAGAGGAAATGGCTGAGAGATCCGCTGATAAACTAGGGAAGACGAAGACACTCTCGGGGGAAGCGACCAAGAAATCCTTTTTTTTTTTTTTCTCATTCCAGGCAACTCTACGGGCATTAACTCAAGAGGAAGAATTTTCTACGATGGTGTCAACTACGGAACTTCAGAAGACAACTGGAACTGTAAGATCCAAAACTCAAACTGTGGGCCCAGGGTTGGAACGCTGTAATGATGTCACGTTTTCATGTCGAGTGCTCCGTGTGTTTGTCGTCATCAGTACATGGACATTTCAGTACAAACAAGGACGCTCTCCTTTGGTTTCCAGTGAGGCAGCCTTCTGGGGTTCTTGGCTCTAGCCACGGCCTCCAGGCATCAGCGAGCATAAATAAGTGCAGTTAGAGTTGGTATTTCGTGCGTGAAAGGTTTTGGGGGAGGTTCTCAAAGCCGTGTAAAAGTTCAGTGCCTCTGGGCCACCTGCTTTATATTAAAACATTCAGCATGACAGTGCTAGACTAGGGTAAAACATATCATCTGTCAAGACTGTTTGTTTTTACTTTTGGATTAAAAGCAAATGAATTGCACCAAAACCTTACAACGCTGACATTGGTGTTGAATCTACTAATTAGTTAGACCTGGAACGTCCCTAACCCTCCTATGTCACATGTGCAGCTTGCTTTTCATAAGAGTGTTTGCATGGCCAGGTAAATATTTGCAGACGTCGGTGGGTGTTTTTTTAAATAACATACAGCTTATTTTTTGGCACTGAATAATTATAGCTTACTGCTTGCCAGTGACTTATGTATAGAATAAGGGAACCTCCAAATTGTTTTAAAAATTGAATCTAAAGTGGAAATAAAGTAAAAGGATTTGACCTAGGAAGAAATCATTTTTCACGACATCACAGTTGTTACAGTTGTGCTTCCTCCGTGAACAGCAGTCTGATCGGGAGTGGTTACGCCTGGGGGGTTCTCACTGAAAGCCACAGCGCGTTGAAGGTCGGCTCTGCTTCGCCACTTGAGGGAGGGAGGAGACCCTCACCTGCCCCTCAGAGTGGAGGCTGCAGCCGGGGTCGGGTGCCACCGTCTCCGCCATAGAAGAACAGTTGAAAATTTTTGAAATAAATTAAATTTGTAAAATGGCCTTTTATAGAAAAGGCAGAACTGTAGACACAGAAAACAGAAGTCATTGCCAGGGGTGGAGGTAGCTGCGGAGGGGCACGAGGGACGTTTAAGGTGGAGAGACTGCTCAGTGGTCCCACGACTGCGTACATTTGTTAAAACACATCAAACTGAACACCTGCCAGGGGTTCATTTTGGGGTGTGTAAATTGTACTTCGGTTTTAAAAATGGTTTTCTACGTATGACTGTAATTAGAAGCCATGCAAATCTTTTTTCCCTTTGCTGCTTGAACAGATGATCCACAAGCTGACAGCACGAGCTCTGATCAGAGATTATGAAGATGGCATTCTCCACGATGACGAAACGAATCACGAGGTTCGCTGCTCTCGTAGCAAAACTCATCACGTCATTCTTGGTTCTTCTTAAGTTGATTTATCCATGAGCATGTAGAGCGAACATAGCTGGATGGACATGCACGCGGTGTCAGGGACATTTATTGTCATGTCTGGGGTGCAGGGTGCTCAGTAACTGTTTGTTGAATTAATTATCAAGAGAACATGTCAGTGGTTTCCTGAGAATTCTGTGATGTTTTTCCCCGTCAGAGGGGCCAGAGGACGGCCCAGAGAACGTTCACTGGGGGCCTGCCACCGGCATCACCACCACTCTTGTATGTTGTTGGTGGTGTAGTCCCCTCTTCCTGATGAGAAGCCCAGGTGCTGGACTGGGGATGGAGGTGGGGGAGGGGAACTTGCCTAGGGACACACAGCAGAGCCAAAGCCACCTTGCTCCCTCCCAGCTGAGCTGATGAGGCCCCTGGCCGGGGGCCTGACTTGGCCAGCCCACCCTGGCGGCCCTGCTGGTGCCTCCGGGGCCACGCTCTTAAATGAAGTTAAGAGCCTTAGGACTCAGTGCCATCCCAAAAAGAAGGTACCATGGTGTATGCCACACAGGGCCACCGATCCCCTTGCAGACAGTCACAGCTCCTGATAAGTGGCCTGTGCCTTCAGTCCCTGAGCAGCCTTGGGTTCTGTCTGCTTAGGACCCTTTTATCTCTGAGGGCGACTGACCCGCCCTGCCCCCTACTCCTCACCCTGGCAGCCTCGTCTTCACAGCGGAGGCTCACACTGTCTGTCCAAAGTTCCAGGACAGTCCTCTTGAGCTGGAAAGGGCTACCTGTGGAGTCGTCCTCTCTGTGACTTAGCTGCTCGCTTGAGCAGAGAACATCTAGTCACTGACTTAAGATATTTAGACAAGGCCATTGACTCATGGTTTAGTGTGAAATTCCACTTACGAAATGGTTTGCTCTCTATAAAAAAAACACCTTTTAGGTGACTTTACACTCATTTAATTGGTCATATGTAGCTAAACAGTGAAAAATGAAACAGAACGTGATTGTGTGTGTTTTATTCTATCCTAGATGAAGAAGCAGGTGTTAAAGTCTCTCATTATTCAACTCAGTAAAGAAAACTGTCTCATAACGCAGTTCACAAGCTTTGTGGCCGTTGAGGAAAGGGTGAGTATCGTTGCTCATTCGTGTTATTCTCCTTATATTTACATATTAACAAAGTTACTCTCAGTGTCACTGTCACCGACAGCGCCCACACCCCTGGCCTGTGAGGGCGGGAGGGGAGAGATAGGCAGGCTCACGGGGATCTCCATAAATGGGACACAAATGTTATTATTTTTAATGTGTACTTTTAAGATTTACTACCATTTTGTTACATTTGGGCATTTCTCATCTCTTATTAATCCAAGACCTTCAGAAAATAGAAAAGGCCTTGGCTTCCCTTAACCTCTGCAAAGCCCTTTCTCCTTCATCAGCTGAAGGGCTAGCATGGCCAGGCTCCCCGCCACTCCCTCCCACTGGCCCTGGCCGGCGGCAGTCTCACACCCACCCGTCCCAAACCAAACATTTACGGGGCTTAGAGTGCCTAGTAACCATTTCATTTGGTAATGTCTGTTTCAATTTTATCTAATTTTGATTCACTGTAGGATGGTAATGAGTCACCTTTTCCTAATACTCCAAATATTTTGGAGCTTGTCGCCAAAGATGTGGACATCTTGCCGTACATGAGCTGGCAGGAGGTGCAGCCCTGTGGCTTCAATGCACCTTGTGGCAGTGCGTGGCAGGTGAGTGCTGATTGCCACACAGACTGGTGCTGTGTTTCCGTGTTCTTACGGATGTGGAGGGCCTTTCCCAGAAGGCACCCTTATCACTTGTATGTGCAGGAGCTGTTGTCTCTGTGATGGCAGAAAATATTTGCACATCTATAAAAAAGCTGTTACGAGACTGAGAAAGTCAGTATGTGTAATGTAGCTGCTAAGCCCAAAAGGGAATAGCTGTGGTCCTGCTTCTTCCACAGACAGAACATCGACCAGGAAGCTAATCCCATTTATTCTAATTGAGAAATGCAACGTAAATAAAAATTGAAAGGCATATTCAAACGCAAAAGGACAAAACAGTGCTCTCAGGTATCCAAGTTAGAGAAGTAAATTGCCAAATTTTAGAAATTTTGAATCTGAGGGAAAAAATTTATGAGGAAATATGTAATATAGGCAATATTCATTTTCTTTTATCCATTTTAAAGTTACGATGTCAGTTAAGAATATAAAAACATATTAGATATCAATGGTGTCAGCGGGACGGTGATCCCTCAGAGATAAAAGTAAACAAGGCGAGTCCTAGGTGTCATCAGCTCACTGCTTGGGAGGCGTCCCCAGACGGGAGCCCAAGGACGGGGGACCCAAACAGAGCCTGGCAGTGTCTCTGAGTTAGGGGGCCAGAGTGCGGCCCAGGGAGGCCAGGACTGCTAGGGTTGGGACACGGAAGGGGCTGCAGAGCCCTGCCGTGGCTCCTTTCTGGTCCTCGGCCGAGTCCTGATCAGCACATGTGTGACAGTGTAAAACTGACCTGTTGGGCATCCATTTAAAAATGACCAGGCAGGCAAAGAAGTGTAAAGATGACTCGTAATGAGGAGAAAAACCAATCAGTAAGAACAAACCCAGAAACTAAGGTGTAACGGAGATAGTAGGCAACGGTATTAAAATGGCTATCATAAATATACTCTGTATGTTCAAGAAGGCAGAGGAACGGTTGAACATGTTAACTAGAGCTATGGAAGATTTAAAAAAAAAAACAACAAATGGAATTTTTAAAGACGAAAAATAGCATCTGAGATAACAAATACACTGGAGGTGACGCACAGCAGATGAGACACCACAGAAGCCCTTCATGACATGAGCTCCAAAATTTGTTTCTCAATTAGCCTTTCATATTTTTTTAGGATTATTTTTATTTTTAACTTAAGTTTATCAAAAACAATTCCAAGCATCAGTGATTTTGCCTTTTTTCTTACTTAAAACTCAAGCTACCTTTAAAAAGAGAATAGAGGAAAAAAACAGATTTAAAACACACCACAGTCAAATAAAACCTGGTAGAACACACAAGACTGATATCTTCAGACTCCAAAGGGAGGGCTTTGAACATTAAAAAAATAATGTTAAATTTGCTTTGGCTTTACGTGATCTTGCATTGAGGTTTTAAGTGAGGAAAGCAATTTATATCCAAATTTTAAAATTCACTTTTGAAAAAGCAGAAAGTACACTAAAATTAATTAATTTCATATAAAGCACAGTAGAAAAAAATAATCTTAAGAAATGCTTCAGGGATCTGACGTGAAGACTTGAAGCCTAACCTGCTGTGAGAATGCCAGTAACCTCATGGATGAGGCATTCAACCAAGTCTCATTCCTGGACTCGTGAGGTTCCTGATCAGTCTCTGATTAGGATTCTTTTAATTGGTAGATATTGATTTGTATGCTTCGTCCTCAGGAATAGAGCATCTTTCATATTAGATAGTGTGGAAATAGGGAGAATGATTCAGGTACAATATCTCTGCTTTGCAAAGTAACCTTTCTGGAAATGCGATTTAAAACCAGCTTGGCTTACCTTTTATATTTTGATGTTGCTTATCATCTTTTGTCATACAGATTTTTAACAGAAATTTTTTAATCTTTGGGTTTCTTGTTTTCGTTTTGTATTATTTTGTTTTTCGTCATGCTTAGAAACACCTTTCTGTTCAGAGATTACGCTTTGTAAAAATTTCCCCTTATTATTTCTTTAAATGGTTTTATGTTTACGTTTTATTTTTCACCCAGTTAGAATCTATCCTTGTGTAATAGGAAGTCTGGAACCAACTTTATTCTTTTCCAGATGGTTGCCCACTTTTCCCAACACCGTTTATTGAATAATTCTTCTTTTCCTCCTATTGACTTGAAATGCCATCTTCATTGTCTACCTAATTCCTACATGTTTTAGAATCCATCGCTGGACCACGTGTTCTGTTCTGTTGGTCTGTCTGCTGCGATTATTGTACTTTCACAAAATGCGTTAATAGGTCTAGCCCATCACTGTTATTCTCTTTTCAGTTTACGCATCTAAGAACATTTTTCATCAGATAAACATTATATTTAACTACTATTTTGAAATGTGTGCCTTGTCACATGTTCTGCAGTATTAATTATGTAAATGTGTACTTGAAACTTGGCTTAGCTGGGAAAGGACCACTTTTTTTAATGGCTCATGTACATTGCTCAAATGAGAGGCTAGCCAATTCTAGTATACCTCAGGGACCTGTAATTCATATAAAACTGGATTTTATTTATGTGCAACTTTGTAAAGCATGCTCTTTAAGTTATATCCAAACAATAGTAGTAACATAGCTCCTTTTTCCCTTTTGTTGTATGTTTTATTCACATTCTGGTATAAAGACATATTCTTTTAGTTACTTTAAAGCTTTTGGAATTTTTTCAGTTTTCTCATTTTCTTAATATTGCCGTAATGCAGTATAAAGGACTGGAATAATCTATTTCAAACTGCCAGCTTATTTTAGGGCTAATTTATATACTAGGATACCACTAGTTGTAAAATCTTACACAAGTCACTTTTACGGTGCTCATTTTCCTCCTGTGTAAAATGAGGATGTTTAAAATTCTGTGATTGTGAGAACCGAGAGATTAAGATCTGCGACGCATTTCTTGTTGATATTTGCTCCAGACCTCAGATTCCATGTCTGCGAAATGAGGCCCTTGCACTTAAAGGGTCTTAAATGGCTCCTCTTTTGAATGCCTGGGATAAGCAATTGCTTGACTATTATTGGAAAGTCAGCTACTAGGAAGGACATTTGTTTGGTTGTTCATTTTATTCTGCATTTTTCCTGACATCTCCTTTTTTATTTCCGGGCAGCCTCTGTCGGCATCCTCTGACTGGCATGGAGAATTCCATCTGTCTAAAAGAAAACAGAAACCATCTACGGTGGAAGTGTTTGGAGTTCTCGAAGGTCTTAGCTTAGCCTCCAAAGCACCAGAAAAACATTTCAGATCTGGATGGAAATGCACACATGCAGAAACGCCATTGGACTTGAGTCAGATGGAGCCGCGTACATGCAAAGGAGCTGGCACACCGCTGGCGACTGCCATCTCACCGCAGATGGCTGTCTGCAGATCTTTTGCTACCCCTAGGCCGGCGGCCTCCCCAGCCGCCCTGGGCTCTGTTAGCTTTTCTCACCCCTGCCCACCCCGTGAACCTCCTCACAGCTCTCTGTTCAGCTTTTGTAGTGCTGAACTGTCTGGTCCAGCTACGAGTGACCTAATCCCTGAGGCTGGCTGCAGCATCAATGTCTTCCCTGAGCAGGATTCAGCCCTCAGAGGGCTTCCCCCAAACCCACCTGTTGAATCTTTTATTGGCCCTGCTTTTGCAGGTGGCTTGTTTGGCTCCAGACAGTGTTCTCTCCCTACAAATTATAAAGGCCTGCAGGCCTTGGGTAATGCGGGCACGTTCCTCGAGGTGGACTCTTCCCCGCAGCCCAGTCCTCCTTTCTCTTCTCCCAGTCTGTCTCCCCCGTTTTCAGCTGCGGACTCTACCTTGCTTCCTCCATCTGATTTCTCCACTTTTAATTTTCTGGAGTCTGCAACTCCCTTGAGCACCAGCTACATGCAGCCAGCACACCTACTTGGCCTTGGTTACCATGGATATGGGGCTTCTCCATCAAATCTTCCTGCCAGAAATGCAGTGTCTCGCCAAGGTCTGCGTTCGGCTGTCCCAAGGTCTTTTGGAACAGAAAATGATGAAACACGAGGATTTCTGAGAATAACGCCGTTTAAAAAGGTGGCCAAATCTCATGTAGCAGGAAGAGAATTTACTGCAAGCTCTCAGGCGTGGGAAAACCAGGGCCCCGGCATCTGCCAACAAAGCCAGAGGAGTTCTGTGCCGTGGACCGGGCTTTTCAGGCTGCAGACTGAGGTGCTCTTCTTATTCCTCCCGTGCCTGGGGTTGATTTACTTCCTAGTTTAGAACAGAACCACTCAGAGGAGCTGGTCATCGAGCTGGGTACAACCAGTCCGCAGTGAGTCAAGGGACTTGTGTAGAATGTAAATCGACACACTACTTCCTTCGTTGGGAAAATCTTGCTATAAAAAAAGAAAAAGTCTCTTGAGCAAAATAATGTGTTCAGGATGACCGTTGTTTATCTATGTACAGCCTTAGGTCAGACTGTCATACTCATGAATGCGGATATTCCATAGCTAAAAATTAGCATCCCTGAATGGGTCATGGGGTAAGACCTTAACTCCCCAGGTTCTAGAACTGATGAATTCCAAGTCCCATAAATGTCCCAGTGTGAGGTGAAGCACAGGTGCTGTAAGTATACTCTAAATATTTTCATAGACGGTCTCGAGAATATTATTCCACACGCAAGATTGTGCTGGAGCTAATCATTCCACTTGTGAAGCTAATAAACACCCCCAAAGTTTAGCTCCTGCACAGGTACTAAGACCCACTCTCACATCTGTAATTATTTGTTTTGATGTAATTTAAGTAGTTAAAGCAACGTGATTTAGTTCAAAACTAGGTTTGAGTCCCAGCCCTGCCACTTTGTGATTTGAGGCAAGTCAGATAACCTTTCGGAGTCTCAGTTTCCTCATCCATGTAATGGGAATAATAATAGTGTCTGCCTTCAGTGGTTTTGAGATTTAATAAGATGATAACAGCCATGTGGCTCCTTACCTGAGGAACATACATGACAGTGGTGTCACAAGCCCGGAGCGGCCATTGCTGCCTGTGGACACTGGCGCCAGACTGTTGGGGCTTATATCCTGGCTGACTGTGCTGTGTGGCTTTGGATAAGTTGCTTAATCTCTCTGTTCCTCTGTCCTCAGTCTGCAAAGTGGCTCTAGTAATACCACCTCCACAAGAAGTGGCTGAGAAGATAAAATAGCACCTGGCACCAGTTTAGTACTGGTTGGCACATATTATCACTGCTGTTATTTTTCAAATTATTGCCGTAGATCCTTTAACATGTCCACCTGCCTATGATGTCATCCTCTTCCTGCTCCCTGTGCGTTCCCCTGGGATCCCGAGTCTCTGCTTCAATGTTGAGGTCCCCCCCACCCCGTAGTAAGGCTTATTACTTCACTCTCGTAAGCATGTGGTAAAGATCAGCCGAACAAGCAGTGACTCTTAGCTGAAGTGGGCGGGGGACAGAAGGCACAAGGGAGGTAGTCCTATAGAGCATGTTCAACAACACAATTTTATATTTAGTAGGAAATGGTCATTTTCATGGTTCAGGCATAAGGACACATTTTTAATGTTGAACAAAAAGATTCGTGTTATTTGAAAGTTTGAGAAACATTGCCTCAGAGCATTGCTGGAAGAAACAAACACATCATTTTAAAAATTCTCCACACATGAGCCTCTTTTCAGATTTTTATAAATGCCACCAAATACTTCTCATCCATAGTCTCTTTGAGACTCCCAATGATGCCATGTCACTAATATGTGAAGAATTTTGATTTGACAATAATACGAATTTTAGAAATGTGGCTTAAATTTGTTTTCTTAACTTCGTAGGATGGCTTTTGGAAACTTACACCAGAACTGGGAGTCATATTAAACCTTAATATAGATATTTTAAACAGCTTTCTTGAACAAAAAGGCATTCTATCTCTAGGTAAGTCATTATTTTTCTATGCATTAAATGTTCTTAAGTGTTATAAATTTTCTTGTAAACTAGTGTACTAATATAATAATTATATAAATTATGTATGAATAAGATTATGTTTGTCACCACAGGAAATAGGCAACTAGTTTCTTAGGGTATCACTGTGCAAATTTATCAGCATAAGCAGCAATAACTGCTATTTAAAAAATCTGAAATCTTAAGTAGCTTAACACAAAGACTGCTTTCTTGCCTGGAAGCCCCATCCCGCATAGGCAGAGAGTGTTGTGGCTCTGCCACGGTCAGTGAGTGTCTTTAAAATTACCCTGGTTAAAAGAAAAGAAGAAAAAAGGTGCCTCGGGCATCGTCTGCCTGGTAGACAAGAAGGAGAAAGAGAAAATGTGGCAGAAACCAGTCACTGTGCCCCACCAGACACGGACTGGGACATGCGCTTTAGCTCCGTGCCCAGGAATAGAGCTCTGACGAGCATCCAGCCAGTCTCTGCCAGAGCAGGTTGTTCCAGCTCTCTAGACCTGGTTCTTTTCATGACAGCGGGTGGGATGGATGAGGAGAGCCTGGACATCCTCAAACTGGCAAGTGGTTTGAAGGCCAAGTACTAGCCTGGCTTAAGAGCTCTCTTTAAAATAAAATAAACATCATGAAACAAATGGCCAGTTGTCCATTGAGCAGCAGTGTCTGGCCACCCTCCCATCGTCTCTGAAACGTCAGGGATTGCGTATTCCAGGCTCATGGCCTGCGTGCGTTGAGCTAGACTGAAAAGGACTGATGAAAACCCACAGGAGGATTTACATTTACTTTCCCTGGACAAACTGTCTGAAAACTGCTCTCTGAGGGTCCGGAATGCAATTTAAAAAACAGGCAGAAACTGGAAGGGGCATAGTCCTTGAAAGGAGGGAAGCCACGGGAGCAGGTATGGGTCGGTTTCTTCCTGAGGGCTGGGAGCCACCGGGAGGTTAGAATTGGGACCAAAAGTCTCAATGGGAGGGTGACTTAGGGGTCAGGGTTCCAGGCTGCCGGAGTGGCTGGAAATTAAGTGCGGGACTCCTAGAAAGATAGGATCCCAGATCTGCACTCGAGTTCTGGTCCCAGCTGCCTCCTAACCCTGAGGTCACAGGGGGTGGCTTCAGGGAATCGAGAAAAGCAGGAGCTGAGCAGAGCTCTTGGCTGCTGCCAGATGTTGGGGAGACAGTTTGATGTTCAGATCACGGCAGATAGACTGGATAAAGTAGGCTTTGCATTAAAACCCAGAGAGGGCCGTAGAAGGACCACGTCGAGTGATGGAGCACTGCACTACAGGGCACATGTGAGCTGGACCGTAGGGGAAGGTCTGGTTCGACCTTTCACCTCACGTCATCCTCAAAAATCAGTTCCAAATAGACTGAAGTCCTGGATGTGAAAGGCAAACCTTAACACTTTTAGGAGAAAATGTGGGAAAGTACCTTTATGGTTTTAGGATAAGAAAGATTTTTTTTTAACTTTTTATTTTGAAATCATTTTAACTTTGCCGGAAAATTTAAAATATAGTACAAAGAATTCCCGTATATCCTTCACCCAAGTTCCCCAGACGTTAACATTTGGGAACACTTGATTTATCATTCAGAGAGGAATTTCCTAATGCTTAAAAAAAAAACAAAACAAAAAGAGGCCATAAAGGAAAAGATTATTAGACTTCGTTAACATCAAAAATGCCTCTTCACTAAAAATAAAAAATAAATAAAATTTAAAACATGAAAAACATACCACAAGCTGGGATAAAATACTTGCAACACAGATAAGCAGTATATAAACGAGGCACAAACCTCATGGTAGAGCTGAGTGATTAACACAAACCAGCACAGTGGTCTCTAAGAGGGAGCAGAAGAGAATAGAGTTGGGACTGAGCTCACAGACATTTCCCAGGTACTGTATATTCTGTTCTTAAAAAGGGTAGCTGAATATCACCTCACACCCATAAGAATGGCTGCTGTCAAAAAAAAACAGAAAGTAACAAGTGCTGGCAAGGATGTGGAGAAATTAGAACTGTCGTGCACTATGGGTGCAGCCCCCATGGAAAGCAACATGACACTTCATCAAAAAATTAAAAATAGAGCTACCATATGATTCAGCAATTTCATTTCTGAGAATATACCCAAAAGAAACAAAAGCAAAGAGATATTTGCACACACGTGTTCATAGCAGCATTATTTACAATAGCCAAAAAAGGGAAGTGATCCACATGTCCATCAAAGCATGACTGGATAAGAAAATATTATATATACATATAATGGAATATTTTTCAGCCTTAAACAGGAAGGGAATGTTGACACATGCTACAATATTATGCTATGTGAAACAAGCCAGACACAAAAGGATAAGTTCTGTACAATTGCATTTACATAAGGTCCCTAGAACTAGAACTTGGGAAAATTGAGATACATTTTGAGAAAGAAACATCAGGCCTTGGTGATGGATCCCATCTGGGCTTTTGAGGAAGAGGAGGGTTGAAGGTGGGATCAACTGTAGACTGAGCCTGAAAAAACGCCAGTAGAGTTATGTTTTGGACATTTAAAGCTCGAGGCACCAGTAGAAATTGGAAAGAAATGCACAGGAAGAGGCCAGAACAGTGTAAGACTCCAAGGAACTCTCAGTATCTGAAGCTATGAGCCTTCAGCTCAAAATTATCCACACGCCAGAGTTCCCCATTCTGGGGTGGCTTGTTCTGAACCCCACTCCTCCTCAAGAAAGATGTGTTTCATTGGTTTCTTGAAATGTGAGATTGGAAAAACAACAGTATTTGAAATGTTTTTTTATATAGTGATTTCAAATACGTTTCTTGCATTTAAAAAAATAAAAACGAGTTATTAGTTTCTGGGTTCAATATATATAAGAATTTATTTTCAATTTTGGTTTTTCATAATATAATATCTCAATTTGGATAAATAACACTGGTTACCTGTAAGTACTATTAAAATAATCAAAGAGAACAATTTAATTCACCTAAACAATTTTTATTTCATGCTTCACAAAGAGGGCAGTTCCCACGCTCCAGCCCAGAGAACTAACTGCAAAGCAAGGGGGAAGGGCCGCAGGCTTTCACAGAAAGAGGCAGGCAGGCCACCGGGGCGTACTCGCTTAGTCAGGGGGCTGGACAAGCATCTCTGACCTCATTTACAAGGATCAAGGGACAAGGAAATAAGTTTGGAGCCCAGAGTTGGCTTGAGATCATTTGAGACACCGGTCTAATCAGTCATACCGATTGTCAATCTGTCGTATGTTTAGGTTTTCTCTTCTGAGCTCTTTGTAGCTGGAGCCTAGAGCTGAATTTCTTTCTACGTAGTTTGCGCGCCTCTGGATATTAAAGACGGCAAGCGGGGGAGCACTGACCTAATGCAGTTTCCTTATGGCCATCGGGGACCAGGACAGGCGCGTGTTCCAGTCGTCCTCGTGTTTTATTTAAATAGCAGGCAAATCGAGGACTTTGAAAAGTATTGTAGCGTTTTATGATCTGCGAACGTGTTGTGGTTTAATGGTATTACATTTCTTTACCAGAACTTTTAGAACTGGGCACAGTTTGAGGTGCAGTTTCCAGCCGACATAAGAGTTTTCTACTTTTAGGTGTAAAAGGAAGAGAACGTCTCCTGGACCTGATCGCCACATTTCTGGTGCTGCAGTTTCTTCGCACCCAGTTGGAACAGAAGGGAATAGTGTTCAAATCCCTGATGAAACTGGACGATGCCGCCGTTTCCAGGTTTCTCATTGTTTCCCGTTTAACTATATATTTTCTTATTTAAAAATATTATTTAATGTTTACCTGTATTTTTTCCATTTAACTATAACATTAAGCAACTCACCTTTTCAACTATGTCTTAACTAACCCTTATCAGAAGCCACGTGGACTCGTGAGTACAGCGAGGTCTCACCCGCCCTCTTCTGTCACTGGCAGGGCAGACAGCATTTTTGCCTCTTCGGTTGCATAGGAAACTGGAGCTCAGATTGTCCCAGTGTAGCTTACACCGGCGCCCAGAGCTTTGGCCCCTGGCTTAGGAGCCTCTTCACTAGCGTATGTGGGTTCTGTGTGCTCTTGGGAAAGAAGGCTGTTGGGACCAGGCCTGGGACAAGAATACAAATGGAAGCCCACGTGCTGTAAGTCTCAGTAGTTAGAGTTATAAATCAAACCAGCAACTTGTTAAATAAAACGTGTTCTACAAGTTTTACCTTGAGAAATCCAACTTCGTAACCTGGAAGACCAGGTTCAAATTCAGAATTCTGGGGTCACTTGAAGTTTCATGTCAAAACGTGGAGAGAGCTGGTTCTGGGGCCACAAACCCTTGACTGAGCCTGGTACCACAAGAGGCCTCAAGTGTACCTGTGGGCACCCCTTCCTGTCACAGCTCCATCTGTACCCTGCGCAAGTAGCCGCCCTTGTGTACACACGCACACACACGCATGTATATAGTTTGCTTACTTTTTTTAAAACACAAGGGTAAAATTAATAAAAATATTATCTGTAGGGAAGGAGGAGGAGACATCAATGAAAGCTATGTCACTCCTAATATACCTTGATTTATGGTTTTGACTTAGAAACTGTAAATATTTCACATAACGGGTCAGATATCAGAGGATGGAGACTGAACATGTTAAATTATACGTGGGATACCCTCAGCAATGTCTGAGACGTCAGCAGATTAATGGCAAGAGAAAAAGGGGGGTGAGGTGGAACCTGGGAATTAAAGGACATATGAACCAAAGGCAGCATGTAGGCCTTGTCTGAATCCCGACTCGAGCAAAGTCCACGTGTTAAAGAAAAAAAAAAAAGACAAGTAAGGAAACTTAAACATTACCTAGATATTTTATGATATTAAAGAGTCATTTATAACTATCTTTAAATATCATGTTTAAGAAAGGGTTCTTGTCCCTTAGAGATACATACTTACAGATGAAATTAAAATAAGTAGACCTCTCTTTACCCTCAAAAAGACTGATTAAATTCTATATTCCTAACAAACAGCATCAAACATAAAACAAAATAATGAATTGAGCATTTTACCACACACACACATATATAAAAATTATACCTCTATTTTTAAAAAAAGCAACAATTTCTCCTTAGATTGCCAAAACAATTCTTTGAGAAAGATGAAAATTATTAAATGAATATCAAGAAAAATACGTCAAGTAACTAGTAGATGGGACTGAAAAGTTACTATTTGATTTAATAGGAGAAACCAAAGAGGCATTTCATCCCTTTAAACCTTTTCCAATTGTGATAGCCACTAGAACAAGTAGTAGTAACTTTGAACCTACTTTTGTGTTACAAATCACAAAGTATTAAAGCAAGATTTTAAAAAATAAGGAAGTATATTCCATCACGTTGCTATTACTGTATTATTGTTATTGTGAGAGCAACATGCTTCCTTGGCACTTTAGTAAATAAAACTGTTTTGAGTAGTTTTCATTTCCTGCTTATTGCACATTTAAAACCTTTCTGTTTCTCCTGCTTCACAATATGCATAACACGAACGCAGTAGCACTTTGCACGGAGGTGCACGAACAAAATTTTCATGCTGGTATGAGGGCCAGTCAGAAGCTCAGAGGCCATCTGGATTAAAGGAAGGCCAGTTGAATTAGTAAGAGTATTTAAATTCAGTTTTGTTGCTTGGTGACAGTTGTTAGTAAGTATAAGGAGACCGATAATTGTCGGGAGTCAGGTCTTGCTATTTGGTGTGTTCACGTCAGGGCGTTGAGCACACGTGTATTGCTCGCCTGTTCTGTGCTGGGAGCTGTTTACATGCATCCTGCTAGGCCCCACAGCAAACCCCCAGAGGTTCGTGTTATCGCAGCTGAGGAAACGGGCTCCCAATGTCCGGTGAAAGCCGCTCCGCATCACACAGGCAGTAGTGTGATGGCAGAGACTGGATTTGAACCTGGCTCTTAACCCCCATGCTGTCCTGATGACCCTTTCCCAGTTTACAGGGGAAAAATCAGAAAGATGGAGAGATGTTTTCAAATTTTCAGAATTAAATATATGCCAGATTCATGGGTGACTCTCAGGTACTTTACAAATAACTAATTGAGTTGAGAATCCCTGGTACAGTAGAAAGGAGAGAGAAGCAGAGGTTTGGCTTTTAAAATAAGATTGAGTTTGTACCTGAAGATTAGATAGGATTTAGATGGAGAAGAATGGAAAAGTGACAATAATCACTTTAATATAAAGGCTCGGAGATGCTTGAGTCATTCTGGAGGCAGCAGGCCTTCAATGAGACACAGTGGGGTGGAGAAGTGATGGGTATAATGTACTTAAAAATGTACTGAATCAGTTAAAAGCACCAGGTCAGACTAATAGAACTTTAATAAAATGCCAAAGAGAACTGCTTTTATTAACTATCTTAATTTTTAACAGAATTATTGTGTCTGATATAATGTGCTAGATTTGGTACCACTTTACATTTCATATGTATTTAAATCCTGAAATTGATGAAAACATTTTTTTTTTAATCTAGGGATATTCCCTGGGCTTCTGAGAAAATAAAGAAAGCAAGTGAATGGGTAAGAAGAACTGAAGGACAGTATCCATCTATCTGCCAGCGGCTTGAATTGGGTAAAGATTGGGATTCTGCCACTAAACAGCTACTGAGACTCCAGCCCGTAAACACCACTTCTCCTCTCCACAGAGTTCTTAATTACGGTCAAGGGTGAATCAAATGAAGTTTGTATTTTAAACGTTTTTCATGCTTCTATCCATAAAATAATCAAATATTAATAGATACTTATAATGAAATTGAATTCTGATTTTTATTGACTAGCAATAAGTCACTTTAAAATAAATGGAAACAATTTGTTATCTCAATGAACTAACAAGCTATAATAAAATAAAAATTACAATATTATAGATGTTTTGTGTTTAAACGTTTCGAGATTATGAGACACATCGGGGCGGTCCTGGAAGCTCTCAGCCTTCTCCCCTTTCACGAGTCTGAGGGACAGCTGGCCCAGCTGGACTGAGCAAGTGGAGAAGAAAGGGGGTCTGTGGCTGATGTCTGCACTCCTGGCATGGATGCCTGTGTCCAGACCCCGCCCCCAGCATGCATACTCCCGGTGTGGGTCCTAGTCTGCACTTCTTGTTACTTAGAGAAACTAGGCGTCCCAAGCAACGCTTCCTAGCCCTTGCTTTCGGTGTTGTGTCGCAAATCTCATCACCAAACCCCAGGTCTTCTAGATTCTCACCTATGTTATCTTCTGAAAGTTTTATTGTTTTGCATTTTACCTTTAGGTCTGTGATCCATTTTGAGTTATTTCTTGTGAAAGGCATAAGGTCACTGCCCGCCTTCCTCCACATCACCCTCTCTAGGCCATTACTCCTCCACCTGTCCATAGAATCCTGGTTTCTTTGACATCCAGCCTTTTGGCCGTCCTACCTGTCCTTGGTGCTGCCATTCGCCAGCCACCTAGCACCACCCCCCATTTGTGTGGTTCAGGATTTTTCTTCCTACTGCTAGCCCTGCCTTCATCTCAAGTGATGTCCAGCATCCTGATGTGTGACCTGCCCTCATTGCCTGGGCCCAAACCACAGCTGTGTCCTGGCAGAGCGCCTGTGATCCTGCTGGCACCTGAAGGATGGAAGCCTTGCAAGGAGCTGCCAGGAGCTCTTCTCCCACTCGCCTCCCTGTCTCCCTGGGAGGCTGTCATGAGACCAGTTCTCGTCACCTCCCTGTTCTGATGAGGTACCAGGCACAGGACACAGCTGCAGACTAATACCCCATCCCCAGCTACATCTAGAATTGGCTCTTCGACAGTGCTGTGCCCCACAACTCATGTTGCACTTACCCAGCTTCTTTTGGGGTATGGGGCAAGGACCAAGGGGAGGTAGCATCTTTGACTGTTCTTCTCCTTGCTGTGTGTATATAAGAAATAAAGCATCCAAATCTAAGACAGTTTGGCTTGTTATATCTTTATTGGCCAAATCAGTCAGGTCTTGGCCTTGGTCTTGGCCTTGCCTGTTTAGTTGATGTAATCACAGAAGATAAATGATCTTTTCTTGGCTTAGAAGCTCAATGGATTTAATGTAGGGAGGAGGCAAGAGAATTAAAATGTTAATCAAACCACTATCAGAGACAGCAATATGCTGATCAGCCCTGCTGCCAGGCCAGGAGGACGCCTTCAGAACAAGAATATTTCTTCTTGGTTACTAAACCCATTCCCTACCCCTGGGAAGGGGAACAGGAACCCAGAGTCATTCCCTATGGCTAAAACCACAGGGAACCTAAGGATTAAAGGCTGGGGAGCTGCCAGCAGGCCTCTCACTCTACTTATTACCTTTTCGCTACATACCCTTCCCCTTCCCCACTGTATGTCCATATCAAAGGAAATGGGAACTAAAAGATGGCATATAAACTGAATTCCCCCAACACTCAGGGTTCCTTCAGTGCCTTATTCTGTCTCTGGCACTGTCCCTCTCACTCTCTGCCCCTGAGAGGAGACCATGCTCTGTGGAGTGTTACCCCTTTTCCAATAAACTTTCCTTTTGACTCTTAACTTTGATGTGTGTGTTGAATTCTTTCTTTGCTCTCCACCAAAGGACCCTCTTCTCTTGGTGCAGGGCTTGGTCACCCCCCAGCAACTCAGGGAAATTTGCCCTGTCCTGCATCAGATTTAAAAGATTGAAAATACCCAGTAGCAGAGAGCTGTGGGCAAACATATTTCCTTACATTGTTACCATAAACATATAGTAGTAAAATAAAATTTTGCAATATGGTATTTATCAAAATTTAAATCACTACCTTCCTTGACCTATAAATTTCACTAAAAGGAATTCCACATCTAGAAAGTCATCCTACAGAGAAATGGACACACATGTATGCACATATCACACATGCATATATACGGTGCAGTGGCAGAACAATGCAAGAGCTCATTTAAAAAATATAAGTGGGTATTTATATGTATATTACATAAAAAATCTGTCATGTCTCATTCCAAATTGCTTACCTTTGAGGAATAGGAATTTTATTTCTATTTTGCATATTTTGGGTTCATTGAAAAAGTTTTACAGTAAGCCTATATACTTATTTAAGATTTAAAATATTTGCCAAGTTTTTATAACTTAGAACCATCTTCTCTCTTCTTTTGTTGTCGGCTTAAGAAACATGGTCAGTTGTCCTATGGAATGTCCACCTTCTAGACTTGTCCAGTTGTTTCCTTTTCTTTCCCCCCATATTTCTTATAGACTGGAAATTAGATCAAAAAGCCTCAGTACATTAAGGATCAGCATTTTGTCCACAGGAGCTGTACCGCCTGGTTGTTCCACTTTTAATAATACCTTGATCAGTGGGTTTCCACCAGGACACTTTCTCCTGCAACTGACAACTACTCTGTGGAGAGATGCTTTGGCCTCTGGTTTCTCATCCATCTCTCACCTGATAGTTTTGTTGCCTGAATCATTTTCACGAAATATTGGGATTCTCTTCTACACTTATTGGCTGGAATTATGAAGAAAAAAAAAGAAAAAAGCTTTCCTCCATCAATAAACGTTACTTGGTTATAATATTTTTAAAAAGCACATCTAATTACTAGAAATGCGCGTCTTCCTCCCTGCCTGGCCGACTATGCTTGTTGTAGTCCCGTCACCGTGCGCAGGCTGCACTTAGTAAGCCAAACAAACCAGTGAGCCAGCTCAGGATCTGGTCATCTCCCCCAAGGATCCTGCTGGCTCACAGATTCTGTAAGAGTTCGTTTCAAAAGTTATTCTAAGTTCACCGTTCAAAGAAACAAAAATAAAAAACTCGCTGCTCTAAACACTTTGCAATTTAAAGTGAGAAAAATATTTACGTTTAGGTGGACTTTCCCAGCAACTTTGGGTGGCTCTTTGTCACTCGTAATCTGGAGAAAATATTTTTTACACGTCTTCTGATGTTTCAATGAAAAAAAAAAAAAACTAGAACTTGGAAAACTAATGGTTTTTGGTCTGGCAATAAAAATTTTAAAAAGGTTTATCTTTAAACAGTACTCGCTAGAGTGTAACAGCACTGAGGCGTTTGGATCGTTGACACGCTTCAACCGCGTCTCAGTCACACACAGGAACCGCGGGTCGCTCAGTTCCGGCCCGCTGGGTGTCGGCGGCCCGCTTGTCGGCGGCGGCCGGCGGGCGCCCTTCCTAGCGTCCCCGTGGGGAACGCCCCGTGCAGG